TGGTAACGGGGGGTGGAGAAGGGGGCGGACCCCCCCGTCGCAAAAACCCCGGCCCCCTGCCCCCCGCCGGATGAGCCCCAAGGCGGAACCCGGAACCCCGGGCCCTCCAACCGGCGAAAGGGTAAAGGGGGGGGGGGGGGGGGGGGTTGTATTGGGGGCGCCGTCTTACATGACAAAGAAGGAGCCAAAGGTGTAAAACGCAAACGTGCTTCTCCTTGAACAGGGCGACATCGAACCACTTGGCGTCCCTGTTCCACTTCTTACGCGGCATGCGCGAGCGCACGGCGAAGCACGACAAGGCAAGCAAAATGCCGATCAGCAGGGCCGTATAGCGGACGGCGCCGTAAAAGCCGACGCGCTGCATGACGCGGTCGAAGAAGACGGGGAAGATGACGCCGCCAAGGCTGCTGCCGGTGCTGGCAATGCCCGTGGGCGAGGCCGCGGCGGCGGACGAACCACTGGCCGACGCAGACCATGGCGGCTGTGAAGACGCCGCCCGATCCAATGCCAAAGCCAAGGCCCTGCGCCAGGAAGATCTGGTAATAGCGGTCGGCGAGGCTCGTCATGCATAGCGAGAAGACGCACATAAAGGCGCATGGATACAGCACCGGCCCAGGTCCGTACGTATCGATGAGGCGGCCGAAGAGCGGGCCTGGCGCCCACATGAGGGCCAGCTGCGCTGCAAAGATCCATGCGATGTCGGACGGCGTATAATCTCGGAGTGAAGTTTGCTGATATGTGGCTTGGAAGACGCCGATTCTGTATGTTGCTCGTGTGAGTTGAGTTGACCTTCACAGCATTCCCTCCACCCTCTTCGCATTCTCATCGAGTGAGTCGGGGGTGGGGGCCACTTACGCGTTCAGGAATCCGAAGCTGCAGAAAAGACAGACGGTGGCGCCGGCAACACAGAGCCAGCCCTGGACTCCCTCTTCTGGGGGCAACTCAAGGTCGTTGGGGGGCGTTTCGACCGGGGTTGGTTCGGGGACCTTGTCCGAGTTGGTCTCGGTTTGGTCGCTCATGGCGGCTTCGACAGACATTTCTGAGGGTAGGTTGATGGTGCTGCAAGGTGATGCTGCAAAATGGAAGCTTGTGGAGGAGCCGAAGAGACAGGACTTAAACTGGGAGTGTCGTCAAGTCGTAGTTGTAGTGATGCTTCCTCCCTTTTGTTTTTTCCCCCTTATTTCCAGGGCCGTGCAACACGGTGCAAGCTGCGTGACGATGGACCTGAAGTGAGTGAGTCGTCCTCGGGATGGGGAGCTATTGCGGCAAGGGTCGAATGGCAGACACCAACAGATCGGCGACCACTGCAGCATCTACCGGATACTTGTTGTCTCGCGGGCATCGGAATGCCACCCTACCTTTATATGGATATGACCCGCCATCCCGCCGCCATCCCGCCGCCATCCCGTTCTGCCATCTTGCCGTCTTTGGCATTCCAACATGTTGTAATGTCTGCCACAAAGAAGGATGTTTTGTCAGCCATGGCCCAAAACAGGAGAAATTGCTTGCAGCTGCACCAAAGTGGGGGCGGCAGGCACTAGCGGCGGCCGACGGAAGGAGCCCCACAAAGAGGAACAATTAAAATTCGCTAAAATGACTCGGGCTTGAAATCACGCACGACCACCTGAATAGGCATTTGTCCACAGTCTTCAAAACCAATGGGATGATCTGGAAATGGGATTTTGGCCCTGGGTGGGAGCTGGTAAATGGCAAAGTGTGTGAGTAAAGAAGTCGCGTGCTCCCTTGCATCAAAGGGGTCGTTGTACAGCTTCGTTCAGAACACTTGGATAGTGCCTAAATGAGTTGATGTCAGTCCATCTAGCATTTAGCACAGTTTTGCTTAAAACATAAGCGACAGAGCCGACAAGGCGGCCGACGGGCGGCCGCCTTCCCGACATCGTTGATCGTTCCCGCTTCGTCTCTCTCACCTCATCGTCGCCGAACCCACAAGATCTTGAGAGTTGGGGTCTACAAGATGAGAATTTGCTTTTGCCATTAAGGCATGTTTGACTGCCCTCCAGAATCCGACATCCGCCATCTGCCATTCGTTCACCGTCTCCCGTCCGAAATGGCGGCCGCCCATGCCGCCTTCGTGTGCCTCACTTGCAAAGCCCGGAAGAAGAAGTGCGACAAGGTCTTGCCCTCATGCGGCTACTGTAATAGGCAAGTTACCTAGGAATCTAATCCTGCATCGGCGGGAACTGCCGTAACCACATTGACGGGAACGGCATCGATGATCGTGCTCTAAAATAACAGCGTCCCAGTAAACGGGTACATTGTACCTACGCAGCACCCTCGGCGGAGATTGGGGCCAGAAGCCCCAGCACAAGCACAACCACCGACACAGATACAGGCACAGGTACAAGCCCCGCCGCTCGCCATGCGTCTGCCCTGCGCTGTGCGCCCTTAGCGGCTGACGTGCGTTTCACCTTGAACACGCTCCCAATCGAACCGTCGGCGGCCGCGGCAAGCCTCTATCTCGAGGCCAACCGCCTCATCCGCTCAACCGGCCAGTTCCCCGATGAGATTTACACTCGCTACCGCCTCGGAATCCACACTCACCTACCCATCATTTGCTTAGAGACCTTTGACAACAGTCTCTTCACCCTGGCAACCGCCCCGGCCCCCGACTTCTCCGTCCTACTTGTGACCATCTGCTTGATCACCTACCTCCCGGAGCCGGGCCCGCAATCCGCAGGGGCGACCGCCCGAGCCACCATTGACCGAACCACTCTTCACCTCGCCGCCCGATCCCTTTTTGCCCAGGTCCGAATATCGTCCCCGCCTTCGGTCCATCTAATCCAAGCGGGCCTGCTTCTAGCCGTCTACGAATATGCCCGGGGCCACCCCGACGACGCCTTTGCCTCTCTCGCCGAGTGTGCTCGCATGGCATATGCCGCCCACATTTGGCGCCATGTTTCCCCACCCCACCCACCGCATGCAACTCTCGAGAATTTGCCAAGGTGTTCGGCCCCTTCGTACCTGCAGTCCGAGGAAGCCGCCAACACATGGTGGGGACTCATCATCTGCGAACGGTAATATCGTCTCTTTAACGCTTCTTCGGGTAACGTTGCGGTCAGTTTCCTGCTAATTACTATGACAGCATTATTTTCTGCGACATAACAGTCCCAAAACAACCGTTGCTCACCGTCGTCCCTGGCGCCAACGCGCAACTCCCCAGCGAGCCTGAGGCATCAGCTCAGGCGGACACGCCCAAACTCAGCCCAAGGTCAAATATCACCGTCTCTTCTCTAACGTCAGAAGGAGTCGGCGGGTTTGGTCGAGCCGCCCAAGCCGCTCTTCTGCTAGACGGGGTCCTTAAAAGTTTTCAAATCCCGAACCTCGATGACCGGTTGATCCACCTAGACGGGCTAGATACCGCCCTGCAAACCTTCTTAACCGTGGTACTCCAGCAATCTCACGGCGAGCCGGGCCCCTTTTGCGGCGCAATATCACTGGCTATCAGGTCAATTCCACACCCGACAACGATGGCTCGCATGATGGCTGCTTGCTAACCACTTCAGTTCGGAAATCCAGAGCCCTATTTACGCTTCACCTCCACATCCTTGACCAACCTTCACAGCCCGTGAGCGCCAAGTTCAAATCGTTAGATAAATGGCGCGGGGGCTCACAAGCGGCCCTTGACACGATTACGAAGATGGTTGTCGACATCGCCGACTCCCACGAACATGTGCCGCCCGAGCGAATGGATTCGCTCCCGCCCAGCTTTTGCTATGCCGTCATCACGGCACTACGGCACATTCATACGAAGTCGGATCCGGACACTTGGCTGCTAGAGGCTGAGGAGCGGCTCCGGGGGTCGTTGTATCGATTCGATTGCCGCTGGGGAGTGGAAGCCAGGCAGCCCTGAGGCGACAGATCTTGGTTGGAACGATCTTTGACGATCATCCCACCGAGACAGAGGCTTGCAATAAATTAAGCCCAGTCACCATCATGGCAGCCATTTTGGATTTGTTGGCGATATGGCGCATAGATTTCAGGCAGTCAGCGTTGACTCGGTATGACCCGAGCAGCAGAACCCTGATAACTTGAAGAGCCCGGACGATGATATCACTGCGGCCAAAATCGTCTTTGCTTCTCCTGCCGTTCCCGAAGCCCACGTGGTACGTGCCTCTGGATCCCGGGAAGAGAGATTCAACACCTGAATTCACAGTTACCCACTATCCGTGGACGACTGAGGCTCGGCCATCCGCCTCGACCTCGCGCCTGAAGGACGGAAAGGGCTCATTTCGTAAATAGTTGATCATCTGGTCAGCCTTGTAATATGATGTGACTGAGGGCGCTGGGAAAGGGCCGATTTAAGTACACTCTAACACAACTTTGGGGGAGGTCAGTTGGCTGGTCATTTGTTTGGACAGGGCAGACAATGTACAGAAGCGACTCGGCGGAATTGGTGGACGAGTTTGCAGGGATCAACCATGAGCGGGCTAGTTATCGAGACCACCGCACCATTCATCCCAGTATTCTAAAGTTCTCGGGGCGCGTCACCATGTCGTAGGGTTCCGGTCGGCCAAGGACTTCACCGTTGTCTCCACCATGACGTCGAAGCGCTATGGGACGAATCTAAGTCATCGTTCCTCCAAGATCCTCATACACCAACTAGGTTTTCTACCAGTGGCGGTTAAATCGGCACCTTCCTGCTCGTCATTCAACGTCGTAGGTCATCTCCGCGCGCTTCTTGCAATGGCCGAAGTGACTTGGCTCCAGCCGACCCCTTGTCCTACAACCGGGCTGATTGCATAAAGTGCGGTTCGACCTTTCAGCTGTTTTGCATACTCCCTATTGGAATAACCATACCTCACGGTAGGTCACCAGGACCTTCCCTATACGAACAAACCCTCGCCCCCAATCACCACGGACGGTGGTCCAAGTTATTGTGGCCCCCAACCCAACAAGCGCCTGTTACCTACTCACGTACTGAAGTTGCCAGGTCCAGCCACCCAAGCGATGGAACTAGCTACTATGTGGTGATGAATTGGAACAAAAGCCCAATTTGCAACAACTGAGAATGGAACACCCTTCTTCTCTAACATTTGGGATCCTTTGCAATACAGACAGGCGGGCGTTGGCTACCATGACGCTTCCCACACTTTCGCTGAAGACGGGCAGTTTTAAGAGGCCGGGTAGAATCCCTCCAAACCGGCCATGCAAGAAATTGAATAGTGGAATTGTCCAGTCTGCCTGATGCGTTCCGTCCAACTGATATAACTCGGCCTACTCAGGTAGCCGGGTAGAGATAAGGTAGTGTTAGCGTATCTTAATTCTTGAATTTCTCACGAATCCACTTTCCTTACTCATAACTTACACGGGGGCTAAAAGCACTACTCTCCGGACATGCTTGTGTCGGTGTTAGATGCATGTACCTGTGTTATGAACCGAGTTTCCGGTTGCTTCCCCTCCTTTCTCCTTCTTTCTTTTCTTTCGTGGTACTAACTAGGTATAGCAGCCGTCTAAAATGAACACTGAAAAACAACGCAGTATGTTGTGGGTAGCAACCAGTAAGTTAGTCTTTCTTGCCGCTATCTTCCTGCGATGGATGAGGATCGAGATGAGATGGAAGGAAGACCAGTTGATCCAACGATCCCATCTGCGGAAGAAGGGCGACTCTACCTATTCAGCGACAGAAGGAGGATGAAGTTGGGGCAAGGGACCAAAAGATGTGCTTTTCATGGTTCGTTACTTGTCGGGAGCCCGATATTGGTGATCAATGTAATCAAGAGCCAAGATATAAATTACAATTTGAAGCATGTCCACTCCGCCATGTTGGGTGGCAGAAAGACAACTAAAGCCTATTCTGAAACGGAATCCCCCAGGTTTCTCTCGTCCACATACTACAGGGTAAAAGGGAAGGAACCTAACGGGAATATGAAAACGGGGCCGGTCATTAAGTAAGCTGAGGTCGTGGTAGATCGCTCTAGTTCATAACTATGATGTTTCAGTATGTTCAACCAAGCAGCACACCCGAATTATCCCTCCCATCCTCGCACCCTCGCTTACACGCAACCATACCCATATGGTGTCCGTCTAAGCGATTTCATATTGACCCTTAACCTTCAGAATGTGATAGTCGTCTTGACAATGGCATATAGACTCAGGGTAGGCCCTGCTCAGATTGTGCCTCAGAGAAAGACAACTACCAATATACTGTTGGTTGGGGCCAAAAGAGTGCGTTGTGTATGTGAATTGCGACGAGGGAATGCGCGGCGGGAGGATGGACACGTTTCAGCAAAATGGAATCCAATGGGTGTGAAAGAAGTAGAATCGACCCAGGTGACGCCCCAAGTAAAGCCAAACACCAAGTGCAAGTGCTGACGAAATCTGAGGAACGAAAAAGAAAGCTAGTTATGGTTTTGATTTTCTTCTTCTTTCTCTCTCTTCTGTTATTCTTTCTCTGTTCTTTTTTTCCTCTTCTTTTCTCTTTTCTTCTTACTCCCCTTTCGAGTTCGGCTCTCTTTTGGCCAGAAGGTGGATGGCTACTGCCCAAAAAGCGAACGGGATCTCGTCCCGCAAAACCTCGATGAGCCGACTTTGCTGAGTCAGCAATCGTACCCCGGCAATGGAGACAACTTAAGTCTGTGCCAACATCATCACCACGACCGCCGACAATGAATATGAATCTGCGCAAGATCCTTCATAGTGCGCTGCTGCGCCTTTTGACTACAGAGTGAATCGTTATCCGATTGGGCTAGACGCCAGGTGGCCATGTGTGTTCGGGTCAGCTTTAGCATTTTACCTGCATCATCTAACAAACTACCCCCCGAAATGGAGCCCAGAATGGAACGCTCGGTCGGTCCACGGCATCACGGAGGGCTGGGACCGGAGCCGATATGTCAGTGGGGGAGTGGTCACGGAACACGGTGGCGGGACTTGTCCACACTTCCGCTGACTAAAATAGCCCACCTCGGTGTAACCGCGAGCGTCTGGATCAACCACGATGACGACGGTAATAACCACCTCACTCAGCTCAACCGAGACGCCAAGACCGAAGGTTTTGAGAGCAGCACATAATTGCCTGGCGTTTGACATCACCATGGAGGAGATAAACTCAATACGGCAAGTTTTACGCTTCGCGGTACTAATAACTGAGAAGGAACGCGGACAGATGTTTTTGTCCATCCTCAAGGCGTTTGGGCGCTCGAATCGGAGCCTGCGGTTGGGCGGCGTGTTTTGCATCTGTGGCGTGGTTCAAGTTTGGAGCACACCAATCATGGCAACAATTTTACAAAAATGCAGGAAGGCGGTGAAACTGGCAGAAACACCAAGGACAGAAATTGACCCCTCCCCCACTTCTCAATGCAACATTTTAATTGAGACAACGGCGCCGACCGACGTCCAGCGCGCACTGAGCCTGGGAACTTGGGCCTAAATTCAGTCACATGTACCTCCGTACTCGGCCACGAACAGAGAGTTGAGGAGGGTGCCAAGTGGTAGATCAACCCGAAGCCTTCCGTCAGGCATCTTCCCTTCAAGTTCCCTCCTTCCCGGTCCCTTAAAGGTGCTTGCTTTGTCTCCCGCCGTCCCTGCCGCCCGTTTTCCACTTTGGTCCTCGCCTTCCCGCCGGACTGACCTCCCCCGTAAACTGCTGGAGCTCTCTGAGTCACCTAAACCTCGTCCGCTTCCCTGCTTTGCCAATTATCTTATTCTTAAACACCAACTCGACTTAACTCTCAATTCCTACAGCTGCGTCCCAATTCCTATTCAGGCCCGCTCCCAATTCTACCTAGATACTTCCCTAGCCCCCTGACGAGCTCTCCTTAACTGCTTGAGCTCCAAACTGCCCCGCCAACCTCTCCTAAGGCCCCGCGAGCGCGAATTCACCTGGCGTTTCTGCCTTCCGCTGGGACCAATCCTTCATTCGTCCGATATCCTCAAGAAAACTCTTCACGATGCCCGGAACCGAAATGGCGCCCCTCCAGGCCGATGACATGCGAGGTACTGCATCCCCTTCATCCTGATCCTCCTCCTAACCTGCTCATGGTCGTCGAGATCGCAATTCGACCTCCCTGAGCGTTGCGTTTGCCATTGGGTTTCTTGTTTTGACCCCTAATTTAACTTTTGATCATGCTCGCCGCTGACCCTTTTGGCACGAAAGTGTTGGGCCAGGATCCCCTCATCCCGCCTGCCCTACTCATCTCCGAAGTTCCTATGCCCGATGCGGCCCTCGAGACGGTTGTCAAGGGCAGACGGGACGCTGTGGGTGTGATCATGGGTCGGAATGACCGTTTGTTGGTCATTGTTGGGCCCTGCTCCATCCACGACCCCGCCACTGCTATCGAATATGCCACACGCTTGAAGGCACTCTCGGAGAAGCTTTCGGACGACCTCGTCGTTGTCATGCGCGCCTACCTCGAGAAGCCCCGCACCACAGTCGGCTGGAAGGGCCTCATCAACGACCCCGATATCGATGAGACCTTCAAGATCAACAAGGGCCTCCGCGTGTCGAGGCAGCTCTTCTGCGACCTTACCTCGACCGGCATGCCGATTGCGACCGAGATGCTCGACACGATCTCCCCCCAGTTCCTCGCCGACTTCATCTCAGTTGGTGCCATTGGCGCGCGGACCACCGAGAGCCAGCTGCACCGTGAGCTGGCCTCCGGCCTCTCCTTCCCCGTAGGATTCAAGAACGGGACCGATGGTAGCCTCGGCGTTGCTATTGACGCTATTGGCGCGGCGGCCGCCAAGCATCACTTCATGGGTGTCACGAAGCAGGGTCTGGCGGCCATCACCCGGACAAAGGGCAATGAGCACGGTTTCGTCATCCTGAGAGGCGGCTCCAAGGGCACCAACTACGACAAGGCCAGCATCCAGGCCGCAAAGGATATCCTGACCAAGAAGGGCCAGAAGATGGCGATCATGGTCGATTGCTCCCACGGTAGGTTGTTCCAGTATCCAATGGGACGCATTTGCTAACCCGAGCAGGCAACTCGAACAAGGACCACAGGAACCAGCCCAAGGTTGCCAAGACGGTCGCCGACCAGCTCCGCGAGGGTGAGCGGGCCATTATCGGCGTCATGATCGAGTCCAACATCAACGAAGGCAACCAGAAGGTACCGGCCGAAGGCCCTTCTGCGCTGAAGAAGGGCGTGAGCATCACGGACGCTTGCATCAACTGGGAGTCGACCGTCGAGGTTCTCGAGGACCTCGCGGCTGCTGTTAGGGAACGCCGGAGGTTGGTCGCGGGTGCCGTCAATGGCTCGCCGAAGACCACACCCCTCGAGGAGGACTAAACCATCGCTTTTGTCTGGTTATAATGACGAAAGTGGTGAGGGGTATCATGACTTCCTATTTTTTTCTAGACCGCCTGCCGACGTTGGTGTTGGTCTTTTGGGCTGAAGAGGGTGAAAAGTGTGATCAAGATGAGCATGGTCGTGTGTCCCGTGGGCGGAAAAGGGGTAGAGAACGCAGCCGGGCTGGACAAAAAAGTAACCTCGTTTACACTGTTTATGGTAGCCTTATGCGTATTGGGGATATGACCTTCGTATAGAGAAAAATAATACGGCACCTAATGGGGCTTCCAACATCACAGATTGGTCAAGATACCACCAGTTGGTCATCACAACGGCGCATTACGGAATATCTCGGACGGAATCCAATTCCTCTTTAGGCGCCCCTTCAAACTAAGCACAACGACCCCGACAACATCATCGTTCGTTCATCCCGGGCCCCGTGTCACGCCTTCATCATGCCCATCCTCTAACGGGTCATACACCTCTCTGTCCGCCCTCCCTCCCGACACAGGCCTAAAACCCCGTCCGCCATCCCCTCCTCCACCATGACCACCCCTGCCCATCAACCCCCCCAAACCCCCCAAACCTACCCCCTCCCATCCCCATCCCTATCCCACCACCACCGCCCCCACCCCCCTGCTGCTGCTGCAACCGCCGCTGCCGCCGGTCCCGCGCGGAATCGATCACCCGCCGCAGCGCCGCCCACCCGAGCAGGCCCGCCGTGCCCAGGATGAAGCCCCACACGATGAACCGGTCCTTGGGACTGTCCCGCTGGAAACAGCTCGTCTTGATGTCCTTCTCCTCGGCGTCTTTGCAGATGGGAAGGGTTGTATTTCAGGCAGAAGGCTCGGTTGCATTTGCTTGCAGGAGGTGGAGGATTCGCGGGGGTGGAGGGCGTGCTAGGGCCGCGCGCGGCGAGAGAAAGGCCGGCGTTGTTGGGGGGGATGGGTGCTCGGGGCGGTGTTCGTTGTTGCGTTGGCGGGGGCTGTTGAAGTGGCGAAGGAGGGGTTGCTGCTGCCGCTGCCGCTTTCGATGATGGAGGAGGCGGGAGGGTTTGCTTGGGGGGTGGTGGTGGTGGGGGTGGTTGGTTGTCGTGTTGCGGGCCGAGCGGGATGATGGTGCTGTTTTGGAAGCAGGTGCATTTGCAGAAGGAGGGGACCGCTGGGTTTGGGTTGGGTCTCGCGTCAGTGGTGATGTTCGTTCATTGCATTGGGCTCAGCTCCGGGAGGGAGGGTTTGTTTGGTGGAGTGGTGAATGCAGTGCGGATGAGGATCTGCGACGGGGGTAGGGATGGTGCAGAACTCACATGCGCTGGCCAGCGTAGCCAGGACGGCTAGGAGGAGGACAATGGCGAGCGGTATTCGCGCCATGGTGGCTTGGTTTGGCTGACCTCGTCGGCTGTGCTAGGAGTAGACGAGAGGTGCTGTCGCCATGCAGGGCGGGCTTGCGACGGGCGATGCAATGCAGCTGGAAGCCGAAGCTGGTCCGTTCCAGGTTGGCGTTGATTCGCCGGACCCACAAGCCTTGTCCTCAGCATGGTGCCACATAACCGCGCCACAATGACATCGCCACACTGGCTTGTGCTTCGATTCTCCACCGCACCATCCGGCTGTGGCTTCGAGCTCTGTCAATTGCAGTTGTGGTGCACAGGCCACCCCTTCGCCTATAAAACAATGGTCGACCGCACCCCATCTTCCTCCTCTTCTCTTCTTTCTTTCCTCGCCCTTCGGGGCATTTGGTCAATTTGAAACGATACAGAGAAGATTAGCATGGCCCCTGCACTAAGGATGACACGCTACTCAAAGAGACGCTACCAATTTTTTCACTGTGATCGCGGCTGCAGTCGCGACATGGAGAAGGTTTTGGTTGTTTGGTTTCTGGTCTGCCATGACGTTGCCGGTTCACCACTCCGTCACAACCAACTCCGACTCAGGACGACTCGCCACTTGTTCTCACTTGTTCTGGAGCTTGCCGTTCCACATCCCTCTTGCCTTCTCGATTTGTCAAGCAAGATCCATCATTATTATCATTATTTTAGTTATTCCTCAGTTGTAGCGAAACGAGGCCACATTTACAAACTTATCACAGGAAAGATGTGCGACATGACCTCCAGCCAGGGTCATGTGCAAGTCTTGCTAGCATCCTTTTGCCATTACAGACTCTACACCGACGTCCCAACCAAATCACACCTGGGCCTTTTTTTTTTTACCGCCCTCGTCACAGACCGTTATTTATGCATTAAGATTTTGTAGCGGGATGTCGTCGTCGGCAAGTCTACGCTTCTTGCTGACATCCACCCATCCCATGCCGAGCGATGTGATCAGGCCCAAGCCGCTGACACCAGTGGCCACGTAGAAGACGCGACTGATCGAAACGGAGAACGCTGCCAACACGCCAGGCAGGTCTTGCTCTTGGACAATGCTGCGGAAGCCGGTCGCCCCGGCAGCGACGATAGCAGTAGCATCGACCGAGGGCGCCTGTTTGGGGAGCTCGGACAGCAGGCTCCCATGAAAGATGGCGTCGGATATGGCGAGTGTGATGGCAGTACCGAGACTCTGTATGAAGATGACGACTGAGTTCCCCATGGCGAGGTCGGCTGGGGACAGAGCGGCTTGAGCTGCGAGGATCGCCTGCCCTCCATTATTAGCATCAGCTGCTGCTGGAAAATTGAGTGCACTGAGGTTTGCTTACCATTGGCATGCCAACACCGCGGCCGACGCCGTTCAGAATTTGATACCCAATCCATTTACCGACAGGCGTGGTTGGGGAGAAGGTCGAGTAGAGGCCGTTAGAAACGGAACCGATGACGGCAGCAAGCATCGCATATGGAATCACATATCCTGTCTGTTGGACTACCATGCGTGTCAGCACGACGCTGTGGTCAATCGGAATAGTGAAGAGCGCTCACCTAAGAACCCGGTCAGGGAAACCACGACCAGCTGACTGAGGATGCTGGGCAGCACGTAAACGCCGCTTTTCATGGGGTCGGCGCCCTGAATCGCCTGGAAGTAGAGAGGCAAAAAGAATGAGGCGCAGAAAATGGTGGTCAACAAAAAACAATGGGTGAGCGCGCCTGACCAGACCGCCCTTACCCCAATAATGGAGAAGGGGATCAAGGCTTCATCTCCCCGATACCAGTCCCAGGCAATCCAGAGGAGTCCTGTTGCACCCGCTCCACAAAAGAGCCCTATTATGGTCGGGGACTCCCATGCGAGCTTGCTCCCGCCCCAAGACAAGGCAAGTAGGAGTTGGATACAAGCGGGGGCGATCAATGCAAAACCGAGCAGGTCAAGTTCGCGGTGGAGCCTTCGCAGTGAAGACCGCGGGCTTGGTTTGCTGTATTGATCGGGGATCGGGAGGAAAAGCAGCCCGAGGGCGAGAAGACCGCCGATAGGGAGGTTAATGTAGAAGCACCAGCGCCACGTCACGTAGGAAGTGAACGCGCCGCCCAGAAGCGGCCCGATGGCGATGCCGAGTTGCGCGACACCCATGAGCATCGCAGTCAGCGGAGCACGCTTCTCCAAAGGCACTGCAGAAGCCGTGATAGTCAACCCGCCACTTATAAGGCCGGCGCTGCCAACACCAGCGACCGCACGCCCGGCGATTAGCATCCTAGAAGACATGGCCGCTCCACAGCATAGTGATCCCACTTCGAAGATGACTAGCGAGGCCAGAAATGAGGACTTATTGCTGAATTTATCGTAAACCCTACCCCAGAGCGGTTGGAGGGTTGCGTTAGCCAATTGGTAGATGGTTACATACCAACCGACATCCTGCAGCGATCGGAATTCGTCCGTGATACGCGGGACCTGAGTCGCACGGGTCAGAGTCAGTTTCAAGGAACGGCAAGGGTGGCACCAACTGCGGTCGCGATGATTGAGGTATCGAGCATCATCAAAAACATGGCCAGGACGAGCAGGATGGAAAGAGCGACGAGCTTCATACCGGTCACCCATTGCTCCCCGTTCTTAGCAGCGGCAGAGGTTCCTGCCTCCGAACCATGGCTGGCGCGATGGTGTGAGAGCTCGGTCACTGACGGCCTTGGCGAGGATTCCTTTTCCTCATTTCGCCGCGGGTAGGCGTCAACATCGGTGGGCTGCCGTGTCGCCGACCGCGCAGTCGGATCCATGATCTAGGACGTGTGGCTGCGCAGTGTACACATGCAGTAGCGGGGTCGCTATTTGTCAGCTTCGAAAATCGAGAGATACGGGGGGATATGTAGGTGAGTTCTGTACGGTATTCGAGAAATCGGGGGGTCGGGTTTGGGGGTTGAGTATTTGGGGAGTTAGGGTTTACTTTTGATCAAGTAGGCTGGATCGCAACTTCCCATACCACGGCATTCTGGTGTGAGCACTGTACTGTACTGTGCCGGCGCTCTTTTCTTTCATCCCTTCTCATACGGGCAATGCCTTGGGGATTTCTTTGCTCTTCAATCCGTCAACACCAACAGCACACAAAAAGGCAGCGAAGATCATCTCTAAAGAATTCTGGGTGGCACGGTGTCTGCTTTTGTTCGGGACGAATGGCATATAACTGCCTCAAATAAAAGCTGCCTTTACCACTGTCCATACCATCCCCACTCACTCTTGAACTTGGGCTTGCTGTATGTCGGAGACTTCATCACCGATTGCCAGCCTGTGGAGATTTCACGATAGACGAGCGGCCAGCAACCTCGGGTTGACGGTAAGGACATACGTAATAAAATTCTAATGATTCTATGGGTAATTTGTTAGTGGGAGTGAAACTGGCTCGGTTCATTCACCGACGCCTCAACGAGGAAGCACTCGCAGTCGTTTGCTTGGTGGTGGTGGTGGTGGTGGTGGTGTTGAGCGTTGGCCGTTGATCCGGCAAGTTAAGGTTTCTTGGCATGCACGGCATGATCCGCAAATGACCCTAACCCTTCTGCCGACTTGGCAAAGAGGGACCGAGGCATCCGAGAGGGCGCGAAAATGGATCCATGGATCTTGCCGCGTGGACTGGGCTCGAGGTTTCCGACATTGCAGGCCTGTCCAATCCAATCTTGAACTCATTGATGCAAGAATCTTTCGGAACCACACTCGCTCTAGACAAGGGAAACTGGAACACCAGCCGCCGTTTTTCTTTACTGCCTGCGCCGTCGATCGAGTGCAGCCAGTTGCATTGCCATTATCATCGGTTGTACCACTGGGATACAGACCCGGCATGAAGGCTGTCTCATCTCGCATTTTCGGACTTCGAACTGTCTTGTCCCGTCCTCTCGCTCTGCGTCACGGCGTTCAACCCTAACCCTCCGACGCCACTCGCTAGGGTACCGCGATGGAATCCGAAACCACAGGAGCAACAAATGGCATGCCGGCGCCTTACGGGAGGGCCTGTACGAACTGTGCCCGCGCTAAGTGCAGGTGTATTTACCGGTCTGGCGGAACAGACTGTGAAAGGTAGGGATGATATCGCCTGCTCCTGGGTCCAACGGCGCCCGAAACCAAGCGTGTTCCTCCATTCAATATCTAACAGAGAGCAGATGCCATCGACTAAGGAAAGAATGTGTGCCCTCCGTTACCATCCGGAAGCGCAATGGCAAGAGGGCTCATGTTTCCCGCGCTGCCCAGTTGGAGGCAAAGCTTGAAGATCTCGTTACCCTGCTCCGGCACCAGGCCACCCCGACAGACAAAGGGCCGCCCGGCGACGGTGCCGGTAATGCCGCCACGGGAACTCCTACTCTGAGCTCTCGCTCAACGATGAGCGAATCTGAGGAAAGTACCCCCCACTCGGCTGCTCACGTTGTCCTGCCGGTCCAACAAATCGATCGTGGCCCTGGGAAAGACCTCCAATCCCTTGCGCCCCGCCCTCCCCTCGGAAGGGCTTTCCAACCCCCAGCTCGAGACCTGTTGGCAGCGGCAAAAGAACTGCCCTCCATGCCCTCTTGCATATACCAGCCGACCCCCTTTGAAGCCGTCGAGGATCTCAACACATTCCGCAAGTACATGCTCATCTTCCTACCCCTGGTACACTTGCCTGCCACCATGACGTCCGAGATGCTCAAGGAGTCGTATCCGTTTTTATGGTTCAGCATCATGACTGTGACCTGCAAGAACGTGGATCGCCGCCTTGCCATGAATGAAGCCGCAAGAAAGTTCCTGGCCCAGAAGATGGTCGTCGACCACGAGAAAAGCCTTGACTTGCTTCTTGGCCTGCTTGTCATCATGGGCTGGTGAGTCCCTCCTGGATTGCAGGCCCGGTTCATATTGGCAGTGCTGACTTGTTTTGTCTTGTAGGGCGCATTACTACCTCAACAAGGACAAACCAATACTCTCCGTTATGGCGTCTCTCGCCAAGTCTCTAGTCTTTGACCTGTCCCTCAACAAGGTCCCGAGCGAGTCATACGTTTCCTCTTGCTTGAAGACCCCGTTACACCCGCCCGTAAAGGAGAAGACACTCGAAGAACGGCGAGCCGTTCTAGCATGCTTTCTTGTTACCTCACAGTAAGTTTCCGACGATCACCCATTGCAAAAAGACCGACTGACATCCACAGAATATCTCATTCCATCAAGCGAATCGACGCGCTAGCATGGACGCCTCATATGGACGATTGTCTCCAAACGCTCTCGCAGCAAAGAGAGTGGGAAGGAGACGACTTACTGGTGGCCCAAGTCAAGGTCCAACTAATAGCCGACCAAGTGACTCGCGCCGCGTCTCAGTCTGCGGATGGCATTCCTCCAGGCTACGTTCGCTCTGCCCTCCGGACTCAGCTGCAAACCATGAGAGCTCAGCTTCCACTCCATCTACAGCACAACGACACTATCCTCAGCCACATATACTACACTGAACTCGCCATCCACGAACCTGCCATCTCTGAACCAAAATCGACTTTTAACCCCATTATGTCCAGCATGAACCGTTATGAGGCGATGGAAGCATGTCTCGATGCTGTCCGAGGCTGGTTCGATAGGCACTTTTCTATCCCTAGCTATGTCTACATTGGCATGACGTTTGCCTACTGGTGGAACCTAGCCCACTGCCTCCTCACACTCAACAGGCTCTCGATCCTTGACGAGACGGCTTGGAACCGCCGCGCCGTGAGAGACCGAATCGACCTGCTCGCCACTCTCGATCAAGTCAAGGCCGGATTTGACGAGATCGCAGCGCAGCGGCGGCTCGATACTGGCCCAACAGTTGATGACGATCCCTTTTCCAAGTTCTCCAAGATGGTCCGATCAATGAAGGCAAATTGGGCCCCTGAACTAGCCGCAACTGAGGGGAACCCGGGCTCGACCGCACCCACAGCGGCGGAAGCGTTTATCGACAACAGCACCGAGGGGTTGAGTGTGCCGTTCTTTCAGCCCGAAGACGGTGAGACATGGATGGCTGGCCTCTCTGGGCTTTTCGACATGAACTGGGACGCATAAGGCACCGTTCAATACCCGGGCCAGAAAGGACACTGGCACCGGCTGGAAACACAGTAAGCGGGATTATCATTGGTGGGGTATCTCGACGCCTTCTAACACACGGGCACAATAAGCCCGCCGCCTCATACACTTATGCGCCTCACTCTCATGGCATCTCAGCGTGGCTGCGCCGTGCGGGCGGCTCTCCCTCGACGATAACCATCATCGACGGTACTGGTGGCGGCGGCGACCCAACCAGCTCTGCCACATGCGACACGCTCGAGAAGCTCATAGCGCGTGCTTTATTGCCCCCGGGTATCAGAAACGCCGGCGGACCAGGACTGCCTGGGTCGGGGTAATAAGACGAGACCCGCGACGGCGGGTGCTGTCCTGAGGTCAAAATACTGCTCTCGGGCCGGTAAGGTGTCATGGGCGACACGGGCAAAATCGGGCCCGGCGACGGATACACGGTGAACGCGCTGACGGGCCGCGCCTCACCCAGGTCACCCCCCAACCATAATGCGGCCGCTGCTGCTGCTGCGGCGAGAAATATCCCCCCGGCGCTCCAAACGCCTGGCCACCGGGCATCGTACCCGCTGCGGTATCCTAAACGCCGCCTCATTCCCATCACTGCCACCACTCCTCTCCTCCCCCAAATCTGGTTCCTGCACCCCCCTCACCGGTATACCCCACCCCCCTCCCCCATAAACATACCGTAACCCATCCCCATCCCCATAATCATCCGGACCCCCCCCTTTAGGAGGCGGCGGCGGTGGCGGCGGCGGAAGCATCTTCGCTCCCCCCTTCTCCCCCTTCCTCCATACCACGGCCCCGACTCCCCCCACCCATACTTCGCGGGTAGTCGCCCGTGACGACCGCGCCGCGGATCCCGCCTTGCCGTCGTCGCCATAAGAGGAAGGCGATGGCCGCGATGATGGCCACTCCTGCAACGGCGGCGGCAGTGATTCCGGCTGCGGTGCCGGCGGAGAGGCTGTTGCTTGTTGGGCTGGTTTGGGGTGAGGTTTGGTTGGTGGTGGTGGTGGTGGTGGTTGTTGTTGTTGTGGTGGTGGAGTCGCGGGTTGGTCGGCGGTTGGTTGTGTCTTCTTCGTCGTCGTTGTCGTCGTCGCGGTCGTTGCTGTCTCTTGTGGGTGCTGGTTGGCGGCTGTTCTGGGTTACTGTGCGGGTGATTATCCGTCGGACGGTTTCCATGTGTTCGCGGCCGGCAAGGGTTGCGGCATCGCTGTGGCGCGGCGCGAGATCCGGCTGCGATTTGGACGGGACATGTTAGCGGGGGACGAGAGGAGCGTTGGGGGATGGTGAACGCACAGCTGGCGCCGTTGAGGTGGTGAACTGCCCGGACGCAACTCCAACGCCCGCGGCGGCCACGGTTAGCAGAGGGAATAGGGCCTGCGCTGGGTCTCATTGATACAGGAGCCCTCGCGTCAAGCTTAGGGGGACGGGTTACTGCTGCTCTTTCACGACCGCGTCAGCCTTCGCGGCTGCATTGTTTGTCACTGGTGGCAGAGGGTGGGATCAAGATATCGGTGCTCGTGTATGCAATCTCAACAAGGTCGGAGACAAGACCGGGGAAAGTGTGGACGATGGGGGCAGCAGTTGGTCAACACCTATAAGAGTGGCTGTGTGGAATCCTCCATGGTGAGGAAAACAGAACTGGCCCGCGGGGCAGGGCTGGTCACGGCCTTCAAGCAAGTGAATTGGGTTACCGGCCACGGCTGGCCGACCACCAGCAAAATCGAAATCTTCTACTTCTCTTCTACGGAATAAAAGTCAACAGGGGCGTGATGGCGGGGTTTTGAACTTGTGTGATGGCTGTGATCCCGTTCCGTGGCACCTCCCTGCTTTTCAATCCCGCTGCCGCGCTGCGGGAAGTGAATGGGATCTGGTTTTGCTCGCTGCACGTGTTGAAACGCCTTCTCCTGGCCAGACCTGGGTTTGTGTGTCTCAGGGTATGGTCGGTCGGCCACCGGGCGGTTGGCCGGATAAGTGGGGCGTTCGGAAGACCGGGTACGGCCCGCCCGTGTGGGGCAACCAGTCCGGGCTGACTCGGCAGGAAATTACACATCTTGTGATCTTCTTTTCCACTTCCCAATCAGAATGTCTTCTTTTTCTCCTTGTACCAAGAGCCGTCAGATTATGGTGTTACTGCCGCGCGTGTCACGAAGTACGAAGGCCACCTCCCCTCTCTGGAAACGGACACAAGTACGTAGTAAGCAAGGTTCAATTGTGTCCTCCTCGTGGTTTTGGGGGCTGACGCCGTTCTGCCCTTGGCGGTTTGCTTCCAGAACACGACCGGGGTACTTCCTGGGAATACGTCAAATCACCGGGCGGAATGTGCCGCCCCACCGGGTATTTATTGCTTTCTTTCCTCTCCTTGAACGGACGGAAGGACTTTAGTTATTCGTAGCTGGGTGATGAGGGACTTCCTAGTTTGTTGGGAAATTTGTCAAAAGGGAAAAGGGCAACGGCGCGCCGGTGTCAAAAATAAGATGTGAAGCAGGTGCAGGCGAGACAGCAACCGGCTTTCTGGGAGTCTGGGGCCCGTGGCAAGCAAGCATTGGGAACGTGGGACCCGCGAGTGAGAGCTCTCGGCGCGTCGACTCGGGCCCACTCTCATCCCTGAGCTTCCTATGCCAAGCACTTGCCGATCTGCAATTTGCCCCAAGCTTTCTGCAAGCTTGCAATTGTGCATTGGGGGGGCCCTTGGGGGATGCATCAGGGTCCGCGCCAACTTCTTTCCTTCTTTCCTTGTCATGTTCGGGGTACTTTCCTCTCCCGTCTTCAGTTTCTGACGTTTTTGTCCACTCCGTCTTGCATGTTGCCTGTGCGTATCAATAACGGGTTATTTTATTATATACTTGAGCCTCAATGCACCAGGAGCTCACTGCAACCATTCGGCGCAAACACTTGGCTGAATAACCTCCCGAAGTTGCAGCACCATGGACGAGACTCGCCAGAGTAGGCCGAGCGGCCTCCCTCGTCCGTCCAAAATCCCCGTGCAAACATCGAAGCTCCCGATCCCACGCACGAACTCGATCCGAACCTCCCCATCGCGGGAAGGTCTGGCAACCACCGCCGGGGCAGGAAGCTTGCGCAACCCCAAACTCCGGACCGCCGTCTCGCGCGACCAGCTTGCCCCGTCGCCTACCACTCCCACAAGAGCTAAAAGCCGTTCCCCAACCAGCACTGCTCCTCTGCGTGCCGTCTCATCACCTCACAGCCGGGCGGGTCTTAGTCAACCCTCGGCAGGCAATACACACACGGGAAGATTAGCACCGAGCTCGTCAGCGCAATCTTTAAGGCCAACAAGAGGAGGCACCCAGGCAATTGGTCCGGGAGCTAGGTCGAGCTCGGCGACTACGGGCTTGCTCCGCCGTCAGTCGTCGCAGCAATGGATCTCCGCAACAGCCATGCCAGAAGAGGAGCCGAGTTCAGGGGAATCCGGGACCACGGTGGCTGATGGGAAAGACACTGTGCCGGAGTCTCCCTCCAAATCGGGGCCCTCGCTTGCAGAACGGACTATGGAGACACTCTTTCGTTTGCCATCCTCGCCGTCTGTAAAAGGAAGAGACGCGCCGTCGTTTTACGACCCCGCCAGCGGAAGGCCGCCCTCCCGCCCCGGTAGTAGGACATCTCGGCCGGGATCCAGCCACCAGTCGGACACATCAAGCGGGCGGCCTAGGGCCGGTAGCAGGCCCGGTTCCAGCTCTGGCTTAGAAGAGTCTATTTCCAGTTTCCGCTCGCAGATTGCCACGTACGAGAACCCGCTCTCCCCCATCGAAGGCACGCCTTTGCGGAATCGGCGTAGTATCCAGTCCTTTCAGTCGCCATCGGTTAAGGCCACCCCGTCAAAGCAAGGGCGAACATCCATGTATGGGATGCCGCCTCCCAGCGCTATTGCCGCCCCGCGAACGAGGACACCCAGTCCGGGAAAGCGTGAACCCGAAGTCTCGATTCCCAAGTCCACCTCGAAGACTCTGGCCCCGCGGCCGCCAACCAAGCGGCCTTCGGTCAACGGTTTGTTCAAGAAGCCGTCACAGTCCAAGCTTGGCGGGGAAGCGCCCAGAAAAGCGTCCCTGGTCTCACGTGGCTCGTCCGTAACGTCTTGGGATGGCACGATCCCATCCAGTGCTTCTGTTGCGTCTGGCAGCACGGGGATCACCGCGGACTCGGCTGAACCCGGCCAAACGCAGAAGAAATCGTCGGCAGCTCTGCGTGAGCAGATTGCCAAGGCGAAAGCAGCCAAGAAAGCCGCGTTCCAACAGGCTGCTTCTAATGCTGCGGCCGTCTCTGAGGATTCTACTTTGGTGCCCACAGACTCTAGCTTTGACTTTGGCCTATCCAGCGATCCATTCAACCAGAACCGCGATGACAAGTCGCAAGCCAAGGTGCTTCAGACCCGGCTTGGTACTGCCAGGACAAGCGGCCGACTCAATATCGCTGCGATGGGCCTGAAAGACATACCGGCAGAGGTCCTTGACATGTACAACCTCGAGTCCATCGGCCAGTCCGGTAGCGCATGGGCTGAGAGCGTGGATCTCACCCGCTTTGTCGCGGCCGACAACGAGTTGGAGATGCTCAGTGACTCTGTGTTCCCAGACGTTGACCCACAGGAACTGGCCGAGGACGAAGACAGCCAAGGGAACATTTTTGCTGGTCTGGAGACGCTCGACCTGCATGGTAACATTTTGGTTAACCTACCGATGGGTCTGAGGCGCCTCGCTTTCCTCACGTCCCTCAATCTGGTTCGTAGCAGACCCATGACGTTCTCGGAAGACATGTTGCTAACCTTTTCTAGTCGTTGAACCGGCTGTCGAACAGCTCTCTCGAGGTGATCTGCCATATTACATCACTGAAGGATCTTAAACTTGGGGGCAACCTCTTGTACGGCCCGCTTGACCCCTGTTTATCCAACCTGGAGAGCCTCGAGATTCTGGACCTCCACGGCAACAATCTCTCATCGTTGCCCGAAACCTTCAGCCAGCTCTCGCGTCTTCGGATCTTGAACCTCAGCGAAAACGGATTTGAAGAGCTGCCCTTTGCACTGCTGGCTGGCCTACCGTTAAGGGAGCTAATTGCTCGCAAGAACCAGCTCCATGGCACGCTGATCCAGGACACTGTCGACGCTCTGCCGACGCTTCAGACATTGGATGTGGCATCCAACCAGCTGGCCCATATTTGCTCCTTCGGCAAGACCGTGGCCATGCCCGCTCTGCACCAGTTCTGTGTTTCCATGAACCGATTGCAGTCATTGCCTGATATCAGCAGCTGGACCAGTCTCCTGACCATCGCAGCCGACGAGAACAACATTAATGCCATTCCGGAGGGGTTCACTAGCCTCCCGCAGCTGAAGTCAGTCGATTTCTCTAGCAACGATATCCGCATTGTTCCCTCCGAGATTGGGAAGATGGAGAACCTGGTCAACCTCCGGCTGAGCGGTAACCCGCTGCGCGAGAAGAAGTTCAGCACCATTAGCACAGATGAGATGAAGACCATTCTCGCCCAACGGCTAGAGCCATCCGCAGAGGAGGACGAGCAACAAGCCCAGCCGGCGCCTGGTGGGGCTAACGATGAATACTTTACCGCGGACGATACGACGACTAGCATAGCTGCTGGCGATGACGACAGCCGCTCCGAACTGGACAACTTTGCTACGCCACCAACGTCTACGCCAGCCTCACCAGCTCGGGCGCGCTCTCAAACGGCTTCATGGCCCGTCAAGTCCGGCGGTGTCCTCGATCGCTCCAACACGCAATCGTCCTCCCTCCACCCGGTCATCTGCTCCAAGCTCGCCACAGCCCACAAGATCCACGAGATCCAGCTCCACCACAACCTCTTCGCCTCGTTCCCCGAATCCCTCACGTTCTTTGCCACTACGCTCACCGCACTCTCGCTCGCCCACAACCAACTGATTGGCGAATCATATCTCGGCGGTGCCAGCGGCAACGACAGCCTTGAGCTACCATCCCTCAAGGAACTCAATCTCGGCCACAACCACATCACCGGCCTTTCCCCGCTCACCACCCACCTCCGCGCGCCACAGCTGCAAAAGCTCGACATCTCCTTCAACCGCCTCACTGCCCTTCCCCCGGCCACCACTTTGCGGGATATGTTCCCCAACCTGACCGTCCTGCTCGTGTCGAACAATCACCTGACGGATCTCGACCCGGAGACGATCAGGGGCATGAAGGTGGTGGATGCGGCCAACAACGATATCGCGCATCTGAATCCGCGCATCGGGCTGCTTGGTGGGCACCAGGGCGCCGGCTTGGAGAGGCTGGATGTGAGCGGGAACCGGTTCCGCGTGCCGCGGTGGAATGTGCTGGAGAGGGGGACCGAGGCCACCCTGAGGTGGCTGAGGGGACGGGTGCCGGTGGCGGAGATGGGGGCTTGGAAGGGGGAGGAGGGAGAGGATGGGGAGGACGTGGATTAATCTATGGGATGGAGTTTGGTTGTGTGTCTGTTTTTCGTTTTGAGTTGAGCGTACTACTGCTTTTTGTCTCTTCGTTTTAGTTTCTTGCAGAGAATCCGACGTGGTCCTGCCTGCTTCAGCCTTCTAGCGTTTTGTTTCTTGTATTAATCTTACTGATACCAACCAGTCTTTTGTAATAGGTCATGGTTGGATATGACCCCGAGTTCAGGGGCTCGCATGCCACTATGCGTTTATGTTGTGGAAGCATTCAAGATGCGGTTGCTTGTATTATTAGCTTAGGATAGAGGGATTGGTTTGAGCACAGGGTTGGACAAGACGGCTCGAGACGGGCCAGGGGCATCCCAGATGGAAAGAATAATCGAAGACAATTCCGTTGTTGCCTTTTGGGGTAGTTGTATAGCAAGTGCCGCCGTCCTTTCTCGCTTGGCACGGGACTTTAGGAGAAGGCAAGAACTTTGCAGAGTCCAAAACAGGTAGTTCTCTCCGAGCAGCGTTCCACGGCAATGCCACAACCCCGGCCTCCGCAGCTCGAGACTCGGACCGGTGTTTGTTTGTGCTGCAGATGTCAAGCTTGGGTTCACCGCTGATGCAATCATTATCTTGAGCAGCTGGTGTTTCGGGAGGAATGTTTGGGGCGAGGGAGAAATTGGAATTATTGTTGATATTGAAACAGACCGGTTCGATAAAAGCCGTTGGATTAGGATTAAAATACAAAACACGGGTATGTTGTATGCAATAAGGAATGCTCAAAGCAATATCGAATACAGGCTCAGGAGAATGTTCATCATAATCATCGCTATTAGAGAGGGTTGGCTCACCGACGCAGACCTGACGTCCTGACCTCCCTCTTGTCTTCTCATTCTGTCGGGTACTCTGCACATTGTCCGACCCACCCGTTAAGGATAAGACGGTGTGGGATATGCTGGAATCCTAGCGAGCTGAGATGCTTAGCAATGGACGGTGTTTACAAATGTTGCCATCACTTTCGAAGGAAAGCTTCTACTGTGTAGTTTGAGACGACACTGCGAGACTGCCCCCTGCGCCCATGAGTTTGCGCCGCAATCCGCACACCCTAACCCTCATCACCATTCCCACCCCTGAACTCTCAACCAGAACGCGCCGCGCTTGGTGACTTCAGGAGCTCTTGGCAGAATTTCGAGAGTTACCTGTCCTCGACAACCACCACCCCAGCACCTCGTCGATAACCGCAGTCATTCATTACGTACGTCCTGCCCGCTCTACGATTGCGCCTCAACCGCATTGACAGAACGCGACCGAATCTCGAATTACCAATTCCTCAATCAACTAACCGGCCGACGCAGACAACAGCGATCGCATCCCGCAGCCTCTCCCTTTTTGTGACACAAGGCGACAGACAACACCATGGCGCGCGCACAGCAGACCATCTCCCTCGCGCTCCTCGTGAGCTCCGTACGCGCCCAACCCTCACCCGCCCTGAAGCCACCCTTACTCTCCCGACCAAGCTAACCTTTCGCGCGCGCGCGACAACCCACAACAGTTCTACCTCTCCCTCTACCTCGGCCTCCTGCCCCTCCCGCCCGCCGTCCAAGAAGCCATCGTCCCCGTTGTACGTCCCTGTCACCCATTCCCCCATTTCTCTCTTATTTCTTCTTCCCTCACTGGGGGGAGGGAGGTGATTATGTACGAAGAAGCTAACGCTGGGACAGCTGCCCTTCTGGGCCCTGGTCTCGTTCGGCGCCTGGCTGCTCTTCCGCCTCGGCTGGGGCATGCTCACCTTCCGCGACACCCCCGATGCATATGCCGAGCTGATGGACGAGATCAAGATGGCCAAGGCGGATTTGAGGACGAAGGGTGTGGATGTTGACTGAGCCAGGGGTTGTTGGTTGGGGAGGGATTGATGGATTGGGTTGGTTAGGGGAGTCCTGGTCCTGGGAGGGAAAAGATGGGCGGGTTGGGTGTGGCGGGAGGTTGCTGCTGTTGTTGCTGCTGTTGCGTCTGTACAAAAGATAAGATACTCCATAATAATGCCATCTACGTTAGTGGCTGGACATGGGATGGGATTTTCACTGCGATTGATGGCCGACTAGCTTTGGTACAACCTCACCGAGCTAGGAGATCCGATGAGAGGGGTGGGTATCCGCTGGAGTTGGCATTCACCTATTCTCGGGTGTTATTTCAGATTGAAGTACCTAAGCCGGTGCCGTCCGTACGCTCATTACGGTGCTGAACACCCTGATCAGTACAAAATGGGGAATCATATATAACAACGCATTCCAATAACCGCATCGCCAAGCCTATGTTTACATGCCTCAGGACCTTTGTTCACCCGCGAGTAAACAGACCACTGTCCTGACAGCCGCGAGAGGCTCCTCGCCCGCCTGGATAAGCTGGTCAAACAGCTTCGGCAGACCAGACAACCGCCCCCTCTCGTCATGATTATGCCCTGCTAAGGGTTAGCGCTCACAATGCACAGCAAAGGAAAAGATCAAAAGGGCGAAACTCACACTTCCCCGGCACGCCCACTAACACCCCAATCTCACTGCGCGCCTCCCCCGTCCAATCAAACCCAATCCGCCACTGCACCCTCAGCATCGACACCTCGCGCTTCCTCCCACCCCCACCCAGAACCGGGATCTCCAAATCCGTCGCCGTCCGCCCCATGAACGGCAACATGATCCGCCACACCCCAACACTCTCCCCACCCCATCCACACTCCCATCATCATGATCATCACGACTTCCATCTCCCTCTCCCTCCTCTTCCTCCTCGAACTCCTTCCCTACTCCCTGGGCGAGAGCCTCCGAGACTGCCTTGCCATTCGTCTCCATATAAACCGCCTGGCATCTCAAAAATATATACACAATAGAAACCTCAACACGTGGGCAAATTGGCTTCGTTTGACCAATGCAGCGCCCCTGGGTCGCCGAGGAGTCTTCATCGAAATATCAGGCATGGAAGATTCCCGCTTCCCGTCAGAGGAGTGAAGAAATCAGCCGAACGCGGGGAATCCTCG